AGAAGTTTTAGCTTTCCGCAGATGCGCTAGCGCGTTCTTAAGTATATTAAGCGCTACGAACACTATTAGCGGAACAAGGCTAAACGACACGCTAAATACGGACAYATCTAGTTTAGAAYACTACCTAAGCAGCCCTAGGATAAAGTTACGATAGACTTTATAACTAAGCTACCGATCTCCGAGGATCGAGCTACTAAGGTTAACTACGACATAATACTCGTTATAGTCGACCGACTTACGAAATATGCATACTTTATTCCTACTAGTAAAACCTTTACTATAGAGCAACTCGGCTACCTTATTATAGACAGGTTTATTCGATACTACGGATTTCTAAAGGTCTTTATTACCGATAGAGATAAGCTCTTTATATCTAGCTACTAGAAGATACTTATCGGAACCCTTAGGATTAAATATAAGCTATCGATAGTATAGTATCCTAAGACGGATAGACAAACAGAACGAATAAATTAGATACTAGAATAGTACCTTCGACACTATATTAATTACGTATAAGACAACTAGGCCGTACTATTGCTAATAGCACAGCTAGCGCTTAATAACTAATAGTCGGATACGACGAAGACTACGCTATTCTTTTCGAATTTTAGTCGAAATCCGAACCTTTTCGGAGAACCTTCGTTATACCTATAGGCCGAACGGGCTATAGTTGCATCCGAGGACCTTAAGGATCTCTATAACGAGTTAGAAAACAGGATCCTAGATTTATAAAAAACTATAGCTACACCGCGAAATGCTAAACGAAAAATAGCACCTTAGCTAAAGAAGGGGGATAAGGTCTACCTCCTTATAAAATCTAAAGACAAGAAGGAAGACTAAGAAACTAGACTAAGTTAAGGTTAGGCTATTTTTAATTAACGAACTACGAGGACTAGTTAACTACCGCCTCGAACTGCCGCCTAATACGAAGATCTACCTAACGTTTTATATCTTATTATTAGAACCCGTAGACGCCGATACTCTATACTAAACTACGTTCTATTTCTAGCTAGAAGAATAAGACACCTAGAAAGTCGAGAAGATCCTAYRGTAATAGGGTTRGGAATATTTAGTTAAATAGAAAGGGTTCGACGACTTAGAAAATACCTAGTACTATAAGAAAGACCTTARGAGCTACCGCTAGCTTCTTAAGCAATTCTACTAGGATTAAGGAACCCYRGCTACTTCTAGAACTTATYRGGGAAGCCCTCGAGGGCGCCCTATATTATAGGAGATAGCGAGAAACTAACGGACGATTCCGGAAGAGCTAACGTAGTACTCTCTATCGCTTCCTCCTATTCTAGCTCCTTAATATTCGYTACCTCTACCGCGATCGCGTCGTCCGTACGACGATYRATAAGATCTATCTATTRCYTTAGCYRYATCTCCTTAGCGTAGGYAACTYRAGAAGCCTCTTACGCCGCCTCTAGAGCAAGGTATATATTTTATTAAGCGCGCTTAGCCTCCTTAATACYCGCTCGTAGCTTTTCCTTCTCTACGCGAAGACGATCGAATTCGGACTTCGTAAYCTAAATRTCGYACCTTTACCCGCGACGAAYAYACTTATTACATTTTCYRGAGCGAACGTRCACYTTATATACYCTCTAGTGCTTCTTATACGTAGAGYACGCTTTAACTATTACGGAACCTTAGGAGTCGAGGAAATCCGCGAGCTTATATCGGCGTTAAGTAGAGGACTCTATAGGATGTTTAGGCATCGTAGAAAGAGGAAGCTATAACGACTAATATTAGCGG